CTCTCTCTCTCTCTCTCTCTCTCTCTCTCTCTCTCTCTCTCTCTCTCCCTCATCCCTTATATCTCTCCTTCCTTCCATCCCCTAATACAGTACATATTATATATTCCTGAATAGGACTCAAATGGGTTAATATGTGAATTTTCCATTTTGAGAGATTTTTGCTTTCAACGTTTGAGGAAATGGAAGTAGGGAGAGATTTAAAGAGTAAGTGGAATCCTGAGTGAGCAAAGAAGACTTATAGTGAAGAGTCATTTATTCTTGGAAATTCAAAAGCTGACTACATGAGAGATGGACTATTTAGTGGTGGCAATTAATGACCATATTTGTCTTACAAGAACACTATAGTTTCTAAACTGAGGCACTCTCTATTATGGTTTAGGTAAGTGGCCCTCATGTGTAAAAGACTTGGTCTTTAGTTAGCTGCTACCAAAAGCAGCCTTTAAGAGGTGGGGTCTGATGGTAAATCTTAGTTTATTGAGATTTTACCATCAAAGAAGACTATCGGACACCCATCTTTTCTTTTTGCCATGGGTTTCTGGCTGCCATGAGTTGTTTTAATACATGTTTCCATCATGATGAGCTGCTTCGCCATAGGCCCAACCAACAGCCAGGTACCAAGAACCAAAACCTCTCAATTTATGAGACAAAATAAATTTTTCCTTTTTAAAAGTTGATTAAATGTTCGTATTTACCACAGAAATAGAAACCTAACCAACACAGTTAGTTAGCTAGATGGTTAAAAAGTACTTTAACATAGAGAATTGGTTGCCATGGCCTCCAACTTGGAAAGGCCTCCTAGGACAATTTTGCTAGGTACCCACAATAGAACAAATATTTGCTTAACCCAAAGTTCTCACATTTGTATTGCTATGTTACTTTGTATATTGTTCTTTTCAGCCCATAATTTCATCTCTCTAGATACAATATAAAGTTTGCAGCTGCAGGAAGACTGTCAATTAGAAAGCCAGCTATGTATGGTAAACACTAGCTAGTGGGATTATCACCATCTATTAAAGAAAGATGCTGGCCAGAAGCATCAGCACTTGTCAGATTGTCATGCCATTTGACCCCTTTACAATATTCAAATCAGGGGTCAAAAGTTCTACTGATACCTGTTGCAGGAGAGCATCTTCTTGAATGCATCCCTGAGCTCTGGACTCCAAAAGGCATATATAAAGGGGTCAATGACTGCATTACACATGATCAACATGCCATTGATCTGGAAGAGAGACATGTAGCAAACACAGTAAGGGTTATTCGGGCAGAAGGTCATTAAGAGGACATGGAGGACAAAGGGGGCCCAACAGAAGTTGAAGACCCCAAGAAGGATAGTCAGTGTGATGGCACCTTTCATGTTGGCTGTAGGTAGAGTAGAGATCTTCCTAGCATGGGAGCGGGCAAGTAAGAACATATGAATGTAGAGACACAGGATGAAAACTAGCATCAAAGGGAAGAGTGACGTGAAGGTGATCACGGTGGGGATGTGGTGGGAGAAGATCACCATGGCGATGCCGCTCCCCATGCAGAATATCCAGATTACTGCTAGGGTGATGACGGTGTGGCGCATGGTCACAATGCTGTGGTATTGCAGGGCATGGAAGATGGTGATGTAGTGGTGAGCAGCAATCACAGACAGGCTGAAGATAGAGCCCAGCAAAGAGAGGATGAACAAGCAGTCAATGATGTCATCGGCTGTACTTTCAAAATTGCCACGAGGCTCGAGATAACCCCGATTTCTGAACATGATCAGAATGTTTTCCAATATCTTGTACAGACTGCCCAACATGTCAGAAATGGCCAAACTGCAGATAAAAAAGTACATGGGGGACTGGAGATTCTTATTCTTGATCACAGCCAGGAGGACAATCAGGTTCTCCAGAACTCCAATGATGGAGATTGTGAAAAATATCTCTTCTGGCAAAACTGCATCAGGGCAATCTGAATTGTTTCTTGCCGTGTCATTGGTGTGTTCATATGGACTGATAATACGTTTCATTTTTCCTGCTTGGGGTTAAGACAGATGGTGCTTGAACTTGACCAGACAGAAATCTTGATGGGTTCTTCAGAATATTTCTTTGTGAGGGAAGATCTGAAGTTAAAGAGAACACATGAAAACACATATTGCAGAAAGACTACAGAATAAAAACAAGCCACATTAGCTTTAAGAAAACTATATTCCTTCCATAAACTGTCATACCGTGGCAATTTAAACAACACATTTTACTACACCCTCATAGTAGCCGACTTACGAGTAATGTTTGCAGTGGAATTTTGAGCTCTGAGATAATGGAAAGTCATCCTTTTCTCTCTCTCCATTCCATTTTACCCTCATGAATGATGTAGCTGTGTAGAACAGATGAGAGTGAATGCCAGTAGGCCCTTGGGCGAGAGAAGAGTGAAAGGAAGGAGAAGTGTATGGAGAAGGAGGAAAACACAGAATCTTCTCCACCTTGAAGGTCAGGATGGGGTCTGTGAACTGATGTGACCTGTAGATCCTTTCTTTTTCATCCCTTTATCTTTCTGGGTCACAGCCTGACCATAAAGGTGTTAATAAGTGGTTCACATAGTGTGAACATTATTACTTCAATTTCCAAAGCTGTTAGGACCTGGGCTTAGGGCTGTGCACCTGTCATAGTCCCAACTACTCAGGAAGCCAGAGTGGGAAGATCTCTTGAACTCAGGATTTCCACTCCAGCTTGAGCAGCAGAAAGAGAATTGTCTCAAAGCAACAGCAAGACCCAAAGCCAAAGACACAGAAGGCAAGTACAGAGCTCTTGGGGTGATTGGACATCTTCTCTGGTGATGTCCAATAATTTTCATAATGCCTCAAAGTGTCCCCTCAAAGTAGATTATGTGCTTTTTAGGCTCTCTTGAATCCTTCTGAGGAAAGGTCAGCCCAAATATGTAGCAATTCCTCTGTGGTCTGGAGGCTTCACATTTATTGCTCTTTTGGAGACCAACTGGATTTTCTTGTCCTATGTAGCTGAGTGTGTCTTCTTATCGGGCATTTAGATTCTGACTGTTGACAGTTGTGTTCTCACATCTTACAGAGTCTGGTAGTTTGAATGTAATTGACCCCCATCAGCTTACAGGGAGAGGCACTATTACGATGTGTGGCTTTGTTGGAGTAGGTGTGGTCTTGTTGGAGGAAGTGTGTCACTGCGGAGGCAGCCTTTAAGTTCTCGTAGATGCTCAAGATACCACCCAGAGTCTCAGTCCATTTCCTTTTGCCTTCTGATCAAGAGCTAGTTCCATGTCTGCCTGCATGCTGCCATGCTCACTGCCATGACAATAAAGGACTGGACCTCTGAACTGTAAGTCAGCCCAATTAAATGTCTTCTTTTATAAGAGTTGCTGTGGCCATAGTGTCTCTTCACAGTAATAGAAACCATAACTAAGACACAGAGTCAGTGTGGTCTCCTAGGAACAGAACTGAAGTGACTTGTGCAGGCTTTCAGATATGCCAGGCTAAGCTGAAGAAAAGAGTGTGTGCCTGTTAGGGTTGGGGTGAGGCTTTCTGGAATTACCTTTGAGTGAAGTAGGGTCTCTCTCAGGATCTCAGATTCTCAACTAACTTCTTCATTTTTGCTTTTAGTTGATTCTTATGAGACATGAAGCCACTGACAGCTGTGACGGAAGTTTAGCAAACTTCCACCTGACTTGACTTCTAATTCCATTTATTTCTGTGTCCTGTGTGGAGTCGATGTGTTTTTATTGGCCAAGGAGCCTAAATGAAATTGTGTACTGCTGTCCACTGTGGTGAGTGGGGTAAACAAGCTGACCTGTAGGGATGGCAAGGCTGGTGTATCAGGCACGGGTGTGGTTTTTCTACCATTGTGGCTTTTGCTACAACGAAGCATGGCAAGTTCCTGACTTGAAGCTTTATGATTTATGTGTTTTATAGAGGCATTCCTAATTATATCTAGCAGCTGATTACCTTGAAGGCACCATTATCAGATATGCTACTGAAGACTCTTCCTATAATGTCCCCCGCAACCACTCTGCCTTTGCCAGCAAAGTTCAAAAAACAGGCTACGGAAAAGTTTTGAAATTACCAATGAAGTGGAAATTTTCAACATTTTTCTTTCTTTTTTGTCATTTTAAAATTAGGACTTTGAGTTTTGTTCCATGCATTTTGATCACATTCACTTCTATCCCCCAACCCCTCCAAGATCCATCTCCTCTTCCAGACCCATACAACCTCGGGTCTTCCTCTTAATTAAAACCAAACGAAAACAAAACAAACCAGTAAGCACAATTTGTGCTCCTTAGGTACGCTTGAATTTATGGCCTTCTACTGAATCATGGGCTGACCTACTGGGAACACACCCTTAAAGAAAACTGACTCTCTTTCTCCCTCCCCCAGCAGTTATCAGTTGTCAATAGCTCCTCAAGAAGGGGTGGGATGTCACATGTAACTTCCTTCTCCATGTTAGGCTTTTGTCTGGCATGAGCTTGTGTATGTCATATGCTTGTTATCATAGTTACTATGAGTTCAAATGTGCGACTGCCCTGTTGTGTCTGAAAAACACTGTTCCCCGGTAGTCATCTACTGCCACTGGCTTTTTTAATCCTTCTACTTCCTCTTCCACAGTGATCCCTGAGTCTTGAAAGGAGGGGTATGATACAGATGTCCCATGTAGAGATGAATATTCATTTATTTCTCATTCTCTGTACTTTGATCAGTTATAGTTCTCTGGTTTTCATCTCCATCTATTGAAAACAGAAGCTTTTCCTTTGAGAGTTAAGAGAAGCATTAATCTATGGGTACATCAGGAGATGGTTTGATATTATGCCTGCTTAGCAAAGAAACAGCAGTAGGTTCCCCTCTAGGTCCTTTTTTAGCCATTGGTTTTTGGCTTGCATAATGGTGCCAATATGGGTTTCAGTGTACAGCGGAGCAGGTTTTAAATCTAATCAGAAAGTGGTTGGTTAGTGCTATGACATTCATGCCACTATTGCACTAGTGGGCATGTCTTCCCATGCTGACTGGTCATTATTGTACCTTGATAATTTCACATCTTGGTAAATTTATGATTAGTTTTCTCCTCTAGTAGTGTAGAAAGCACCTTAAAGCACCATGAATATGTCTAGTAAGCATGAAACTTCCAGGTGAGCACTAACTTGATTTCTCCATGTTCTGATGACTCACATAGACGGTGCCTTCAGCATTAAACTCTTACTCTCAAATTTTGAGGCAAGCCAATAGCAATGGCAATAACTTTTAACATTGGGGGTACCTTATTGCCCAACAATTTCAGAAAGAGGTAATCTATTCCTGACACTGAACTTTTTATTTGTTAGCATGTGATATCCAGTGACCCTTTATGGGGTAACTCCATTTAATTTCTTTATATATGTTGATGGAGGAAGGTCATCTGTCTATGTGTTACTTTCATTGGTTAATAAAGAAACTGCCTTGGCTTTTGATAGGATAGCAGCTTATATAGGCAGAGTAGACAGAACAGAATGCTGGAGAAAAAGCAGAGTCAGGCTGAGGCAGAGAGTTGCCTGCCATGAAGCTGCCAGGTCAGACATGCTGAATATTTCCCGACAAGCCATGACCTTGTGGTGAGATACAGATTATTAGAAATGGGTTGAATCAATATGAGGGAGTTAGGCAATAAGATGCTACAGATAATGGGCCAGTCAGTGTTTAAATGAATGTAGTTTCCGTGTAATTATTTCGGGCGTAAACTAGCCAGGAGTAGGGCGGCGGGAACGTGGCCTGCTGCTCCTTCTACAATATGTGTTTGTATATATTAGTATGTAGAATATACAAAGACCTAAAATATCCTAAACATTAAAAAAAACCAAACAACCCAGCTTAAAAATGGGGCATGGTGCCAAACAGAGAGTTGTCAAAAGATAAAAAAGAAATGACTGAGAAAAACCTTTTTGATGTTCAATATCCTTAGCAATCATGGAAATGCAAAAATACTTTGAGAATTTATACTACACCAGTTAGAATGTCTAAGATCTAGTAAACAAACCCCAAGTGATAATGAAGGGTGCTGATATGAATATGGGAAAAGGGGAACATTTATTCTTCACTCATAGCAGTGCAAACTGGTACAGTCACCATAAAAGTCAAGCCAGAACTATCACCACCACACAACTCAGCTCTACCACTGAGGCCTATTCTCTGATAAAACTCAATCCCACCACAGACATACCTGTTCCTCCAGGTTTGTTGCTGCTCTCTTCACAACAGCCAAGAAATGAAGACAGCCAAGATGCCCAGCAGCTGGTGAATGGATTTTAAAATATGTAGAGCATTTGCAAAATGAAATAGAATTTAGCTGTCAAGAAAAACAGAATTCTGACTGTTATGAGTGAATGAATGAAGCGGTAAACAATCACTTAAGGTAATCCAGAAACAGTGAACGTTGCACATTTTCTCTCATTTGGGGATTTTAACTTTGAATCTTCAACGAGTGTGTATTCTATTCAGAATAATATAGAAGTCAGGAGATTAGTAAGGAGGGGATTTCAAGAGAGGGGAGATAGAACCTTTTTGTATAAAGGGATCCAGGGGAATGATGGAGCAAGAAAGGCTAGGTGAGTGGGGAAAGGGAGGGCAGAATAGAGGAAGGCGCGGGGAGGAGGGTAAGTACACTGGAGACATTTGAAAAAGCTGCGTGGAAACCCACTACTATAGAAGTTTCAGAAAGTACATACATAAGCAGATGTAGAAAGTTAAAATCTTATAAATATAGTTGATGTCAGTCTTATGTAGGATCTGAAAATGTTGACCTCAGCAAAGCTGGCAGAAGAGCAGTGGCTTAGGAACGTGAATGAAGACAGCGTGGTTAAGGGGACCTGTGATACATTATAGTTAGACAGAGGGCCATGCTCTGGTGTTTTGTTGTATGGTAAGGTGACTATATATCAGTGTTATTATTGTCAATTGATGTGGGAGAATTGTCTGTATTCTGTCAATCATATTTTAATAAAACGCTGATTGGCCAGGCAGGCAGTATAGGTGGGAAAACCAGACAGGAAGTAGAGGTGATGCAATGAGAACAGGAGAATTCTGGGAAGCAGAGAAGTTCCTCAGCCACTCCTGCGCAGACCACCGAAGAGGCAGCATGTAACGTGCCCAGCTGAGAAAGGTATGGAGCCATTATGGCTAACATAGATGAGAATAATGGGTTAATATAAGTTATAAGAGTTAACAAGAAGCCTGACCTAATGGGCAAATCAGTTTATAACCTTATGGAGTCTTGTGCTTGATTTTCTTTGGGGCCTGCCTGCTGTGGGGTACTGGGCGGGACGGATACCCCAACAAGCCAGCCCCTCATACTACAGTCAATACTGTGGATGTAAGCTCCAGCTTTGGTGGGAGTATGAGCTGCTGCTGGATATATAAGGGGACGGGTGTGGGAATAGAGCTTTGGTTGGTACTCGGTCTTATTGCTGGAACTGAGACTGTTGTGTCTTCAAATGCAACAGATTGGGCTGGGTTTGTAGCTATTCTTTATGTAAATGGACTAGTGGTTGCTGAAGCCTGGGTTTGGGAAGTCAACACCACACCCAGAACTTCCCTAGACTCCATCAAAAGTGAAGAAGGTCTGGGGAAATACTAGAGGAGATGCATGGAGGGAGAGACCTAACATCTAGTAGACCTGGGGACCCAGAACCACCAGTGGCAGGGGCATTGACAGGGACATGAGCACTTGTTCACTTGTTCTGGTTCACTTTCCTGGCATTTCTATATGCTCTCGGGGGATGCTACTGAGAGTAGCTAGCCCTCTGGTTCTTAAACCACACCTGGATCTGGTACTCCTTCAAGCGAGTTTCTCCCCCCCCCCCAGATCCATATGTTGCTTATATGTAGGAAACTTGCAAAATCTCAAAATTCCTTGGTGAACTTGGTGTGTTCACTCTGCTCATTGCTTGAAGCCTTGAGGGGAAGTTGAGGCCCTGGAGGGACTTGGAGAGCCAGACCTGGGAGACAAGGTGGATCTGAGGGACATGGGTAAAAATGGAAACTTGGGTTCACTTGGGGTCCTGGAGGCATCTGTAGACCTGCAGGGAAGGGGCTTTGAGGGCATTTGGAGATGATGGGCATTAGGGGGTCTGGAGGCATTTGGAGAGCTGGGGCACCTGTGTATTTAGAAACAGTGGGGGATCTTCCTCCATTGGAACATCTAGGAAATCAGCAGGATTCTATATCTTGGTACACTCTGTTCAGGTGTTTGAAGATTTTGTTACAGGATCTGGGGCTTGTCACCTTTGATTGTTGGGCCCTCCTTACCCACTAATACAATCTTGCAACCAATTTTGAATGTTCTCACCCAAGAGAAATCATAAATATTTAAGTTGATATACATGCTAATTATTCAAGTTTGAGCACCACTTACAATGTATTGCATGTATCAAATCATCACATTGTTTCCCCATAAACATGCATAACTGCTATGTATGAAAAAATAGCATTATGAAGAAACTAACTTTAGGAGCAACCTGAAAATTAACTTTGCAGCTTGCAAATTAGCAAAATGCACGCAATGATCCTCTTTGAAAGGCTATTAGTCTTCATGAGTCCTTCTCGCTTTCAAAATAAAATTTCAGTTTTAAAACAACTGGGGCCCAAGGTAAGAATGTAGCTCAGTTAGTGAAGTGTTTGCCTAGCATGCTCAAAGTGGTGATTTCCCTTCCTCACCCCCTTAGACTGGACTTGGTGATGCACACCTGTAATGCTAGCAGCTGGAGGTGGAGCTAAGAGGATGTAAAGTTCAAGGCCATCCTAGGTCAGCATCTCTGAAATATTTCAAACAGATCACCATTTTGTTCTAATCAGTAAACACTAGGCATTATATATCATTTTTAAAAAGTTTAAATTTTTTTGTGCTAGAGAGGATGTGGAGTAAGGGGAACACTCCTCCATTGTTGGTGATAGTGCAAACTTGTATAGCCATTTTGAAAATCAGTATAGTGATTTCTCAGAAAATTAGAAATCAATCTACCTAAAGGCCCAGCAATACCACTGTTGAGTATATACAAAAAGGATGCTCAATCATCACAAGGACATGTGCTCAACTATGTTCATAGCAGCATTGTTTGTCATAGACAGAACCTGGAAACAACCTAGATACTACTCAACCAAAGAATGGAGAAAGAAAATGTGGTACATTTACACAATGGAATACTACATAGTAGTAAAAAATAACGACATCTTGAAATCTGTGGGCAAATGGATAAATCTTGAAAAAGCCACATTGAGTGAGGTAACCCAGACCCAGAAAGACAAATATCAAATGTACTCACTCATAAATGACTTCTAGACATAAAGCAAAGAAAAACCAACTACAGTCCACAATCCTAGAGGACCTAGACAACAAAGAGCACCCTAAGAGAGACATACATGGATATACATAGGAAGGAGAAAAATACAAGATCTCTTGAGAAATTGGTAATATGGGGCTCATGAGAAAATGTAGAAGGGGAGGAGGAAGAGAGGGGAGCTAGAGGCAAGTGCATCTCACTTAAGAGAGGCTTTCTGACTCAGCTTTAGAAGCAAAAACCTTGCAGTTCTATTAAGAGGCCCCACCACCAAATACTTAAATAGTATTGATGAATAGCCAATAGCATGCTTCTTGGTGGTGGCAGGGACCTTGAAACTCCATAGCATTGTGGCAATAAACATGGCTCTGACTAGTACCTCTGTCATGAGGTTAGGCTTTCAGAAAGCTAAGGAATGGAGTGGATCTAGCCGTTAAAGTCACGGCTTTAATCCTAGCCAAAACAGTAAATTAAAGACTCATGTGATAAAAAAAGAGAGATATACAGTAAAGATAGATTCAGACAAAAGAAACCTCTAAACGGTTTAAGTGTGTTTAAAAATATATGTAGTCTTGGGAGAGAAAAGAATAAAGATAAACTCCTTAAAATAAAAAAGAAAGAAAGAGAGTAGTTGGGTGTGATGGCCCACAACTTTGATCCCAACACTTGGGAGGCAGAGGCAGGCAGATCTCTGTGAATTCAAGGACAACCTACTCTACAGAGTGAATTCCAGAACAGCCAAAGATACACAGAGAAACCTATAGCTACCAAATTTCTTCCCTTCTCTCCTGGCGATTCGCAGGGCCATATGACCTCCGGCTTCCTGGAGTCTCTGCACCAGCTCTGGCTTGAGGGGATAACTTAGCAAGAACCTGGTTCTCTTTGTTATGGTGATTCCACTTGTATTCAAGGTCTTAGCAGTGGGCCATTAGCCTGCTTCCCCTGGCTGACCTTGCCCGAGGGGCCAGGAAGCTTTAATCTTCTCCTCCTGCTTCTGGTTGGGAGGAGGCCTTGCCTTTTTGATCCTGGTTGCCCACTGGTATAAATATCTGACTTGAGTTTAATAAAGTTGCCATTTACTCTTGTAGATGAGCCAGGTCTCTTTGTGTGTGTGTCTTCTTTTTCAACCCTCAGGAAATTGTCCCTTCTCATGGGCCCAAATTCAAAAAGCGCGCAGCCTGGGTCGGGCATGGGTATCCACTGAAAAACGCAGACTCCCACAAGAAACCTAATCTCAAAAAGCCAAAAGTTAAACGTAAAAATAAAAGAAATAGAATTTAAAATAAAGCCACATAAAGATGGAAAACACACAAAGAATCTGAATCCTGTATGTTATTACATTCTCTTTGAATTGTTTGAA